TTTTGAGCGGCAAGTGGGCGGCGGCCAATTTCCGGCGCCGCCCTTTTCCACGGGTGGGGCCAGGCGTTGGGCATATTGGGCAGCACCCTTGTGGCAAATAGGTGGCTGAACATCAAAAGGATGCGGGTTGCATTCTGAACTGGGTTGAACTGGGTCGCAGGGCAACTTGTTTGATGCTTCCAAAGAGGGCTTGGTGTTTTACGTCCTCCACGTGGCACACAGGCTGATAAAGAGCCAAGGTTCATTGCGCAGAAGCCAACAGTTAAGACTGGCCATCTGGGGGTTGTCTCGTCCTCGGAGGGTATGCGGTATGTCTTTGTTGTTTTAGTTAGTTCTTTATGTATGTAGTTATTTATTCATGTTTAATGTATTTATGTATTTATTTATTTATGTAATTAGTTATTTACCTATTTATTTATGATTGTGTTTTTTGGGGGGTTACAGGGACACCAAGACAAAAGCCAACCTTTCTAGGTGTCCCCTGAAAAAGCAGAAGGCATCCATATGGGGGTGCCTTTTCCTCCTAAAAAGCAAAGCCGCACCCAACGGGCCGCGCCGGCTGTTTCGAGCTGAGGACCTGACGCAGGATGCCATCCGCCCTGCAGCGCGCAGGGGAGCTTCAGAGGGTTTGGTTCGTCCCTGGGGCCGGGGTTTCCTGGGCGGGCCTCCACAAAAACATAGGGAACCCCCCTGAATTTCGGAGAATTCTCCTCCCCCCTCCGGGCTGAGCAAGTTCCTACTTGCTGAGCTCTTGGACTTTGTATGTTGTGGGAAGATCATGTTTGTACCTTTTTTGCGTTTGGACCATGTCGGTGGCAAATGAAAAGTTCAGGCATGTTTTGGCCCATCCACTCAGGAAGTGAGAGTTTGAGCCACATTGACATTGACAGCATGTTATGTTGGTTATTTGTTAGAGTAGCTTGTCCAGCAGTCCGGCAGTTGTGTGTCGGTCCTTGCGTTGTGTGGAAGTTTGCCGGTGCCAGGCGATGCGGGGTCCACTTTTCTTGGTGGCTCCCAGCCATCCCCTTAGCTTTTTGGCTTTTTAGAGTTTAGTGGGGGTTTTCCATTTAGCCCACTAAATGTTAAAAAAACTTTCAGCGGGGGATCGGAAAACGGACAGCCGAGTTTGGGGTGTCAAACATGATTCCGTGCCAGTGCCCTCCTGTGCCTGCGATGCTAGGCCAGGTGGTGCTCAGAGAGAGAGAGAGAGAGATACCGACCCATATGCCAAGCGTGCTTCCAGAGCGAGGCCTTGATGTCGCAGACTTGCTGACCCAAGCGACCGGAGCCCAGTTGGGTTCCAGTGCCCTGACATGGTTACCACATATCCTTGGACCACTGCCCCCGACGAGAAGTTGCATGAATGTCCATGTAAGAGACTGGACTGGATCCTGGATTGCTGTTGCAATCACATTTTTCCCAGACAAGTCTTTCTGCAACCCTGACGTGCCCTCCGGGTGTAAACCGCGGGCATGCGAGCGTAACTTGCTTGACACGTAAGTTCCGTGAAGGCCAATGCTTGATGCTTACATGGAACCAGCTTAGAGAAGCTCCGCAAGTTGGCCCGCAAGCATTTGCCGAGGCTCGGCTGCAGAAACATATCCCTTTGCCTCTGGAAGACGAATCCATGTCCTATTTTCTGAGTTCACCGGTTTGTGTGTTCGGGTGTGTGTTTGTAGGTTCCTGTGATATCAGCTACCAGGTGATTGCTGCTGTTGTGCCAGCTGATCAACTCCCAGCTTCCCAGCAGGAACAATTCCGCTAACTTGTCTTATCCTCTCTTCTGGATCCTAATTCAGCTCTAACATCTTACATCGATGCCCTTCCATATCCTTCAATGTATTGAGGATGCTATAGCAACACCAGGTCCCCCAATAGTGCCCTTTCTCACCCTTTTTGGGGCGAGGGTTCCCCTACTGAAATAGACTACAGAAAAATGGGTACCAACTTATTCTAACCTCTCCACTGGAGGACCTAGAAAACATGTACTTCCCAGGTTTGAGCTGTCATGCGCCTCTCATGGAGAAGCCTTTCGCCGGCCGGCTGCGCGCCACTTCGCTCAGGTTGGGCGTAGGCATGCCCCGGCGATCTGACTTCATGGCCGGTGGCAGCCGGGGCCTCTGTGAACTTGCCTGGAACCCTGGTAAATGGAAACATGTGCGTAACCCCTCCTTCTTCATTTTGAGCCACGCCCGCCTGAGGATTCGAACCCCCCAAAAAAGGCTTCCGAGCCCGATCGTTTCCACGGATATCACCAGTAAAGTGATAATCCAGTAACCCCTGAAAGAGAGCCTATGGCAAGTTGCAACGGGGCTTTACTAACGCAAGTTGTCGGCAAGACCTTGGCAAGTTGGGGATCCGTCAAAGTGCGTGCACAAGTCCGTCAGAAGGCTCCGTGAAAGTCTCGAGGTTCTTAGTGTCGTGAGGCACGCGTATGGGGTCCGTGCAAGCATAGCTAAACTTACGGATCCGATCGATGCGCGGATGTTTTATTTCAAGAAATCTGTTGACACCGGTGAGGCCTGCTTGAAGCCTGCCCAACGCAGCCTCCCGATGTGTCTGTGGTTCACCTGCCAACCAAGATCACAGGCAACTCCTAATGCACCAGCGTGTGGGGCACATCTCCGAAAAGAATCTCAATATGTTATTGAGGCGCTTCCATTGCAAGTTGACCGCAGAAACTCCTCAATGTAGATGTGGCACTCTGACATTGTCGATAGCTGTTGCACACACCATTACACACCCCTGTGGCAAGACCTAAAGCCCTCCCCACTGTTCTCAAAGCCACTGTGGCAGAGTTGAGTGAAGAAGACCTAAAATCGACCACTGCCCAATGCAATGGCATGCGCAACGTCCCTTCCAACCCCCATTGTTAGCCATGTCCAGTATTGACACACCAAAGGCTTTCCTGCCTGTATAATCCGGCTTCGCTGGCCAACCCAAATCTCCCGCCGGCAAGCGTTGTGCCAAGGGGCCAGCAAACCATTTCCGGAAAATCCACACTGAAAGGTGTGCTTGTTCAGGAGGAACTCGGGGGGCATCGTTGTCTTTTCACAGCAAAAACCGAATAATCAACTCCTTGAGCTTGGACCTTTCCAGATTTCCCATGCTGCCGGGGGGACGGCACATGTTCTGCCCACTGCTTGGCAACCTCACCCGCAGTATAAAACGAGGCAACCCATTCAGGAAGTTGTTTGTCGATTATCCGATTTTGTTGCGAATTTGAAAGGTTTCATATGTTTGATCCCTTGTGTTTTGGCCCAGGCTCGGCCAGCAGATCCTACCTTTTGCTGGTACATCGGGCCGCCAAACAGGTCTTGGAGGTGGGCCAGAGCCAGAAACAGCTCGGGTCGTTTCTTTGGCTTGGCCCATTGGGGCTGTGGGGGCCTCACATGATTGGGGGCCAAGCACCGCGGCCCCGAAGGCTTATCTTCTTGGGCGGACCCCAGAGAGCCAGCGAATTGATGTTATGGAACAAAATGAGCGAATCGACGCTTCGCCGGTCCTGGACAACCATGTCATTGTGAAACCCTGGCGGTCTTTTGAGAGGATGACTTTGAAAAGGCTAGGCGGGGAAAAGCTGCCTGCCCAAGCACTTGTAGCCCCAAACTTTTCCTAGAAGAAATGGATCTGGAGATGCCTCACGCAAATGTAATCGCTAGGTGAGAACGCCTCACACCTACCCTAGTTTCTATTTTGCATGGCTGGGCAAACTCCTCTAGAGAGGCATCGCGTGTCCTGGGTGATCAGACAGCTATTCATGGCATGGAAATCCGGCTTCTGGGTGCCACTGTTGCAGGAATGCGAGCCGTACGTCGCCCTTGCCCAAGCTGACGATCAAAACGGGGTCGCTCCATGTACAAAAAAAAGTGATCAAAAATGCCCACTGGGTGGAACACTACAGAAGGAAGGTGCTGATGCTGTGTTTATCGAGCCGACCTGTTGAACAGGTTCATCCCATGCAATGTCTTCGCACCTGATCTTCGACTTTGGACCTTTTAACGAGCTCAGCTAGCTTGCAAACTGAACATGGCATATCTCCAGCTCTTGACCTTTTAAGCCAAAATGAGTGGCTCATTTTGGCAAAAATTTGGCTACAACCCCATTTGATCCCATGTGTTAAGTTGGCATTCTCTGAGGGCGTGGCAAGGAGCATGGATAGTTCACCAAGGCAGAAGCTTGACTACTATTGGGTTGGATCTATAGGCTTCAACTTGTTGGGAAATCAATGAGTTGTCCACTAAACCCACAAAAAATAAACTTTTTGCAGAGGGGTCCTGGCAGCAACCAAGGAAGGGTAGAACATTGGTCCGGGACTGGGCGCAAGTGACCAAGGCCTTGAAGCACTGGCTGCAGCGCGCAGAGGCGGCACCGCGGCGCCCACACACCAAAAGCTCACTTTGCGAGTTCCTGGACTTTAAAACTTTCTGGAAAGACTATCTTAGTGCTAAACACATAGTTTGGACTTTCTTTGCCCATCCACTCAGGAAGTGAGAAAAACAATGAGTGGCACTGGGAAGTAAATGACACCAGACTTGTTTGACCATGGGGCAGGAAAAGCGAAGCCTTCGAGGGTGCCTGGTGTTTGGGGCTTTGGGTTGCAAATCCAGAAGAAACCTACTCATTGGACGAGAGGTCTTCTGGCACGTGGGGGGGGAAGCGCGTCACACTGCCTGACTGCCTGCCGCTTTTCTGGATGGTCCTGATCTCAGTTGTCCAAAGCCGACCTTTTGACCTTTTGGTTTCCCCAGTTTCGTCCATATCTAGTCATGGCCCCAAGAGGTTGACCTTGTATTTCCTTTGTTGCATGTTGCTCGGATGTTTGGACTTTAACTTTTTGCCAACTACTGGGTTTTCCGTATTAAACCACTAAAAGTTATTCACTTTTCGCCGGGGTTTGCAGAAAGCAACCGAGCTTTTCTGGATCCTTTGGGCAACAGATGCGTATGATGTCCTTGGCCAAGGGCCGGGGGCCGGGGGCATGTCTTTGGGAGCCAGGTGCCTCTCCCCGCGCGGGACATGATCGAGCCTCAGCTTTGCGGACGCGGATCGGCTGACTTTCCTCCAGCGGGTCTTTTGTTGAGGGTACCCCTTGTTTTGGTTGATTTTAACGGGGAACCAACTTAAGCCCACATTTTTTTGCTCCTAACAGACACACACAAATATGGCTTCGTTCTTGATGCCGCCCTCTAGGCCCCAGAAAATGAGCTCTTGGACCCGTCCAAGCGGCCCGTAGGCCAATGCCATCGGCGGAGCGCGCCATCCAAGCGGCGCAGAGGGCCGTCCAGGCTGTGGGGATCGGGGATCTGGCATGGCCGTGGTGGCCAAACCGTTTGGGGATTTCATTTTGGCTGGTAGGTGAATTCACCCAATGGCTTAAACCAATGGGTCAGAACCAATGGGTCAGAACCAATGGGTCAGAACCAATGGGTCAGAACCAATGGGCTATTTTAGTGGTTGGATTGGGGGAACGATCTGGCTTTTGACCCATGGCCATATGCCAGAAGGCCGCCTTGTTCGAAGATGTCCACACCAACTGTGGTTGAACCGTTGTCGGTTTCCCTTTAGGGGCGCAGGGTTTGGCTGCTGCAATTGTTGGGACCTTGAACCATTTTTGGTTTCCCTTTGCAGGGTTCAGCAAAATCTGCGAAGAGAAGCCCTTTGAAATATATGGTGCTGGGTTGCGGTTATGTCAAGGGACGCCTAGGTGGAGCCCTCAGACCGGAAGAGCATTCGCGGCATGAATGCACATAGCGCATCAATTACACACGTATGTATGCATAAGTGGCTGTGGGTCGAAATTCAGCTACCAGGGGACTGCAGGTTTTGGTCCTTGGTTCCATTTACCAGGGTTCCATTTTGAGTACCTTTTTCTGACCCACAGCCAAGTCTCCCTCTATATGGAGAAAGAGATAAGAGGGGTCGCGTGCGTCGGTGGCTTGCAGTGCTGGCTGGCTGGGAAGCTTCAGGTGTGCCAGGCGGCTTATTGCTGGGCAACCGGGGAGCCTGGGGCCATGTGCAACTCTGTAGCTCTCAAAGCAGCGTGGGATGCAAAGCAAAGACAACCTGCTCCCCAATTGGGCACCCCCAACTTGAAAGCGGCAAGGCCAAGAGAGGATATTATGATAGTGATGGTGATGGTGATGAGGATCGCTCAGACGACGTGCGAACTCCGAGGAGAATCCCCTTGCTCCCGAGCAGGCGTCTATCTCCCAGTTCTGTCATTCAATGGCATCCAGTGACAGGGTGTCCCATCTTTGACCCTTTTCAGTGCTTTGAACCATTCCCTTTTTGACTCAAAAGTTGTGTGTAATCTTCCATTTGCTTAAGAGTATTTCTTATTTTCCCTTGTTGGTTTAAATGGACTTTCTCACTGCTGGACATATGTTCTCGTTTTCTCGCGGCTGAAGCGCCAGGAAAAAAACGCTTACTTGTGGTGTTTTGGGGCTGCCGGTAGATTTTCCATGCGCTTCAGGCAACTTCCATGTCAGGAGACCCCAAAAATCCAGGTGCTGTGAGGCTATTGCCTTACTATCCAAGCCCTTTGGAAGTAATGGCCCCAAGTGGGGCAGGCCATGGCCATTTCCATGTCAGGAGGCGGACGCTGCCGGCTCGGCATGGCTCACAGAGCGCGGCGAAGTGTGGTGCCAGGGCTGGGTCGCTGGGGGCGGGGGAGCTCGTTTTTTGTTTTCTTCTTTTTTTTGTCCCCCGTTGTTTGTAGTTTGCTGGTTGGCTTGCATGCTTGATTGCTTCGTTTTTGGTTTTGTTTGTAGTTTGCTGGTTGGCTTGCATGCTTGATTGCTTGGTTGTTGGTTTTGTTTGTTGTTTTACTACTATTGTTATTATTACTATTATCATTAGTTGTAGTTTGTTGCTTGTTTGCTTGTTTGCTTGCTTGCTTGAATGCTTGTTGGTTTGTTTGTTTCTTTCTTTTCAGGGCCCCGTGTTTCAGGCATGTGTTGTGGCAAGCTGCCCTGCTTAACTTTTCAGGTCTGCGAAGCTTTTGGCAGATTTTTGCCGCGTCCCCCGTAAGCCACGAGTGCCCCATGCTATTCTGGATATCCACACGAGAACAGACACGTCACAGATTGCAGTCAAGCTCCGGCTCCCCACTTGCAACATTCAGGGAATCAACTGCAGCACATGCTGCAACATAGAGCATGGCGTCCACCCTGCGCTAGCGCCCTTGAGGCACCCAAGAGACCCTAGTCACCTGCAGATCCCAACCCTCACTACTCCTGACAGGCAACGGTTGCTATACGGAGTTGGGAAGTGATCATGTCCACCTTGCATAAATCCGCACTTCAAAGTGCCATGCTTTTGTATTTGGGGGACTGCTTGGAAACAAGCATTCACCCGCATTGATGTGAGGCGTGCATATGCGCAATGCCCAGCTGAGCGCACAAAACTCTTTGCCTGACGCTTCACAGCCTGATCTGGCCGGATGGATGTCGCAGATGGGCCGGGGCAAGGCTATAGCGCGAGGCTCAAGATGTGAATGTGATCAGCGCCATTTGCGAACCAGTGTGGCCCTTTTTTGGTGGACCAATCAAAGGTACACATGGCATTGAAAATTCCCAGCTTTCAAGAGCACCGCTGTGCCCAAGGTGGGCCTGCACCAGAGGAGGCAGGCATGGAGAGGGGCCAAAATGGGACAAGACTGCTCCTTCCCGTCGAGCGCCCACGCAACCTTGGGAGTCTATTTACCTGGTGCTCTTCAAAAGGCTCATTCCAGCTCTGTCGGACTTGCTTCCCTGGAATGTCAGCATGAGTTCCTTCAGAATATGCATGGGCGCTCTTGGGCGGGCTCTGCAATCAGCCACGAGTTCACAGAGCTGCCAGCACGCAACTAGCATTGTGTTTGCCAGATACCTACACCACTCACAACCAAGAGGTGCATGTCCCGAAACGTGAGACGACCACCGGAAGCAACACCTGGGACCTGGCAAGCCAGGATTCAGGGGGCGCCGCCAAGAACCCTCTGGTGCGAGCGCTGTTGCGGCTCGATGACAAGGGTAGAAGTCGGGTTGCTACGTCTAAATGGAGCAGCGGGGCAAATCACAGAGACTGCCTGACCAAAAGGAAAGATGAGCTGGCCAAAGGAAAGGACATCAGCCAAATGGTGTTTCGGCCCTGGATCCGGTGCGTGTTCTGGCATAAGTAGCATGATTTGCCAGTTTTAGTCTTTGGCGTAGGGGGATCAACCAAGAGTGTATGTTCCGCAGCTGCCGAATATCAGAACTGTGGGCATTCACCGCTAGAGTCTGCCGTCGGGGTGGGTTGAGCCGAGAGTGGAGCGTTGACAATCCTTAGCCGGCAGCAAGAGACAGGAGGGACGCTCTCGGAAGCTTGTTGGTGGCCGATGGTCTTTGACACTCACACTTTCCAGTCACAAGGAATGTGTGAGGGTCTGAAAGCTTCACTGAAAACCACCAAACTGAGTGCAAAGCTTCGCAGAGCAACTCAGAGCCTTTCTTGCTGGAGGGTCGCTGGCATACTAAGACAAATAAAGTTCATGGATGGTATGTGCTTTGAGGTCTAGTCAAACTTGGCATCGTGCTGACACTGAGGGACCTCTCACAGAATGTCGCGGCTTGAGGCATGTGCAGTGGGCTTCACTGCTGCAGAAGGCAGGCGGTTGATATGGCCCTCGTCCAGCTTTTCGTTGTCTGGTTGTCCTCTGGCATCACGTGGCCTTAAAACCCTTCAGTCGCCTCTAAAACGAAGGGACTGTGGAGGATTCAAGCTTTTTGGGACGACCATTTTGGTGGTAAATGCAAAGTTCGGACTTTTCTTGGCGCATCCACTCGATCGGAAGTGAGTTTCATGCAGATTCTACATGCTTCACCCATCCTATAGGAGGCCTTGCGCAACGGTCAGTCTTGCGCCGTTGGACCCTCGTCTTCCTGACCCCCCACCTACTTTTCTTCCATTCGCTTAAGAATATATGTTGTTTTCCCTTGTTGGTTTTCAAGGGACTTAGCCCGGAAAAAATGCTCGTCGCTCTCCACGATGCAGGCTGGCAAACATGACCGCCTGGGTCCTGGCCGTTTTGTGCGATGGCGTTTTCTCACACTTGAGGTGCAACTATCTATGAATCTACCAGGTCACCCAGTAGTGCCCTTTTACCAACTTTTTTTGGGGGAGGGTTCCCCTACTAAAACAGACTACAGAAAAAGGGTACCCTTATTCTAACCTCTCTACTGGAGGACCTAGTCTAGGAAGCTCGTATGCTCGAGACCCTTGCAGACGTTGGAATCCAAAGCAAACCTGACTTGTGTGGCCCGAACAAGTTCCGCCGTCTTTTTTTTTCCAGATGCTGGAAGGCGCAATCACATTGGGGTCAAAATGAGGAGGGCCCAGCAACAATTGATGCTTCCTTTGATCCTTCGGTTCCCCTTGCCCTTCAACGGTACAGGAAAACCTCCAAAAAGCCGCCGAGTCGAGGTGCCGAGGAGCACTTCCGCAGCTCTCTGGAGCCACGTGGAGTCAAGTGATGGCTTTGGAAGGAAATGCACAGGGGGACCAAGGTGTGTATGGGGCCAGATTTAGTCGTGATTGGGGCAGACTTGCAGTAGTTCGATGTCACACTAGCACGTGCTATAGTTCATGAAACTGTGTCCCTACTTTTTCTTTAGCCCAGAATGCCCTTTCGATCAGGGTCTTGCAGTCTGAGCTTAGGCCCAGATCCATTGGCTGTTGCACGTGCTGAACCCACCCTGAAGGTTGCTTGAGGATTGCGCCCCGAGAGCGGAACCTAGACCGTATCTCACAGGCGCTCCTTTCTCAGTTAACCTCAAGGAACCCACCCACCCCGCCAGCCCTCAATCCACCCCCCCCCACCCCACATCACTCCGCACCCCGCCAACCCACCCACCCACACCCCAAACCCAGAGACGGCAGAGGTGGAGCCGGCCATCGGCTATCGAGGTTGGTGCCCAGTGCCCGGGCGCACTTCGGCCGCGGCACCTGCCTCGCCGCGCTGCGCCGCCGCGCCGAGGCGTCGGCCTTGATGCGCAACGCCGAGGGGGTTGGGTTGGGGGGGGGGGGGCTGGTGGGTTTGGGATGGGGTGGCCGGGGGGGGGGGTGGTGTTGCATTTGTTATTGCTTTGGGTTCATGGGTTTAATGGGTTCATATTGATGTGCCCCGGCCCCCGAAGTAGGCGTTCGTCTTGTCCCGGAAGCTTGCCTCGGAGAGGCTGGTTTTTCGTCCGGGTGTGTTTGCAACAGAAAACGGAGTTCGGGCTGCACAAATGTTGACACTGCCATGTTCCAGCAACTTGCTGACTATTCATTCATAGCCTTTGCTTTTCAAAGGAAACCCCAAAAAAAACTCGGGCACCAAGCTGAGAGCCAAGAACGGACGAGCGGACTGTGCAACTCGCAAAGTTGACCGCGACCCCCACTTTGAGTTAGTGGTGGCCTCTCCCGTCCGCATTTTGCCATCCGGTCCTAGGGTCCCCCCCACACTTTTGGGCACATTCTGAATACACCCACTAAAACAACCTATTTTCAACATTCAAATTCAATCACCCAACCAATCCAACTCCAAAAAACACATATTCACACACCCCTCTTCATTTCTTACCCCATCTCAACATCACCCCTATGTTCATTCAATAACAACAATCATAACTACATACCACCTCAACAAATCCCACCAAAAAAATCCAAGCTACATACCAACATTTTTTCATTCCCAAGATCGCAACCCCAAGATCTCAATAATTTCTCCCTTGATCCAACCTGAGACCCTTTCCCATTTCCAACAAATACGAACAGTCTAAAAAAGAACCCTATGTTCGCCCCGAAAAATGGTTAACCAATGGAAAAGGGAGAATTAAAACCGTTAACCCAAATCTTGAAAACAATCCCAGTAAAATATGGATGGCAAAATGCGGATGGGAAAGGCCTATGTAGGAAAGCACCCCCACGGCTTATACGGGAAAATTACACTATAATTATAACATATAAATGTTTACATGTTATAATTATACTATGGTTTTAATCATCATCATCTCTGTATTCAAGTAATTTAAATTCTGGACATTCTACAAATTTAGTGTTATGTGCAAAACACCTTCTACAATATTCATTGTCGTAGATGTATTTAACAACTTTATTAAAGTCTCTGATCATACTATTGTAATTAAATTTTGTTCCTTCGCAACAATAAGCTATTCTGTTGACATCGTTATTGTAAATGCCTCTATATATGTTTCTTAATATGCTTATCTTGTCAAACGAGAACTTGAATTCTACTTTCAAGTCTTGTTTGTCAGGAAAACTATGACAGCGAGAGAATAAGTAAATATATTCATTTATGGCTGTTCCTCTTTCGGGGTTTTTAACTGCCATTTTTCTCCTTCTCGCTGACTTGCACCCCTCGCATTCTTCATAGTTAAATTTACACATGTTATTGATGATATTACTTGGCAAGTTTAACTTACTTAACTCAACTTTCTCGCCATTTAACTTACAATAGCAGTCAGCAACACGTTTATCAAATATGTTTAGCATGTCATTTGTATAGATCTTATTTAAGAATTCATTCATAATTTCCTCTTGTTCAATCTCAGTAAATACTACCATTCTGATGCTAACGTATATAGGTAATATTTCTTTAAATACATTTTCAGAGAAATTATAATTTATAGAAATATTTTTACCACTATAATTACAACATATAAGATCTTACATGTTGTAAGTATAGCAAAACTATGGTATCAAAGGCTTTAATCTATGTATTTCCAGGGGTTGTATTCGTTTCTTCTGTTCCTTCTTTAACTCTTTTGTTGCTTTTACTTTGTCTCTGCATTCCTTACATGTTTTGTAAAATATCTCTTCCATTTTAATTCTGTCATACATTTTGTGAAAGTCCTTTCTTGGCTTTGCTTCGTCGCATTTACTGCAAGGATAAACCATTGTGCATCCTGTTTCTTCTTCATCATCTGTAGAACTCATAATATTAGTTATGCCAATATGTCTTTAAACGGATTTTCAGAGAAAAATGTTTTCAATCAAGAATAAACCCCTGTATCTTCATCATAGTCAATTTGATAAAATGTCATAGTTGAAGCCTTCGGTTCTTTAATTTCTTTGTTATTAAGTTTGTTTAAATAAATATTTCTTTTATTTTTATATTCACCATTGGTTCGATCTACTTCTTTACTTTGATAACTGTTTGTTAGCGGTTTCTTCTTTTCCATTTCTTGCAAGATTTCTAAAATATTCTTATTCTGTTCTAAAACCTTGTTCAGTTTTTTAACCATCTTTTCTAATCCTTCATCCATGTAAATATATATATTATATTATAAAATAAAACTTTTAAAACTAAATGTTTAAATTATGTTAAATCTACTCTTTAAATACTAATTTTTCATCATTTGTTTAATAGTTTCCTGAGTTTCCTTATCACCATTATCGGATGGAGTAACTCCCCTCCCAAAGCGTATAGCAATATTATGAACATCTGTTTCTAAGTTGATACTGTCTTTAGTTTTATCAATATTCATTTTCTTATCATTTCTACTTATTTTGAAACTGGCTGGAATACACGAACATTTACAGTTTCCTTTCTTTTGTATTTCTATTTCATTTTTCATTTCTAATATTCTTTTACACATTGGACAAGCAAACTCAATAACTGATGTCTCTTTAACAACTTCTTCTTTTTCTTCATCAGTTGAAGAAACAACTGGTTCAGTCTTATTCTTTTTCTTTCTTCCCATTTATATTAATATTTACATTTTTATTTTTGATATATTGTATCACAAACTTAATTATTTCTAAAACAAAATAGCATATTTTCTTGCATCTATTATCAGTTATAACAACTTGTTCTAAATTCTCTACTTCATCTATTATATCAATATAATCTGAATAGCTTCTATTCATATAAAATAATAAATATAAAATATTTTCTAAATAACTTTAATATTATTTTATTATGTCAGATGTTCCAATAATAAAGCCAATAAACATAGCTGAATATGAATTCAAACAATCTAAATATGAGCATGTGCCAAAATTACCATTTAGAAGTATTATAGTTGCTTCTTCGACAGGCGGTAAGACTGTCCTTATTCAAAATTTAATATTGAATGTTTATAGAAATTCATTTGCAAGAATATTTATATTTTCACCCAGCGTCCATAACGACCCTACATTTACAGAAGTTAAAAAATATATCAGGGATGAATTGCACGTGGATGATGAAAAAGAACAAATTTATTTTGATAATTATAATCCAAGTGATTTAGAAAATGTAATTGAAAGACAGAAGAAAATAATTAATTATATGAAATCTAAAAAGATAAAGAAACTACATTCAATATTAATCGTTATAGACGATCATGCCGACGATCCTAAATTTGTTAGATATAGTAAATTATTACATGGATTATTTACAAGAGGTAGGCACGATGCAGTAAGCGTAATTTGTTCAACACAGAAATATAATGTGTTGGCGCCTATCATTCGTTTAAATGCCAGTTCATTATATATTTTTAGGTTGAAAAATGCCAGCGAATTGATGAGTTTTATTGAAGAAAACTCTGCCATTGTTGACAAACAGCAATTATTAGATATGTATCATCAAGCAGTGAATTTTGCTCCATATTCTTTTTTCTACGTGAACATGAATTCAAAAGACATTAACAACATGTTTCATATCAATTTTGAACAGGCATTTCAAATTACAAATGATGAATAAAGATATTCTAATTTAATATAATATAATATAATAATATGGTTATAAAACAATGTAGATGTGGTGGATTTTATCGTAGAGGTAATTATAATTTTCATACTAATTCTTGGATACATAAACTTTATAAGGTATTGAAAAGAAGGGCAACAGACGAGGAATTATTACGATTTCAAAATATTTTTGTTGATGAAGAAGATTTAATAGATGATAGATGTAGCAATGCCTCAACGAAATTACCCGAAAGTGAAATGACAGAGTATGATAGCAATTAATAATATTAATTTGTTTTAATATTATTAATTTAAAATAATGAATAATTACATAATTGAACAGGTAATTTATATATCAATTTGTCAGACTTTTCTTTTTCTAGTTTCTCAATTCGTGCCACACATTCTTGAAGAGATTTAATAATTAAAGTGTCTGCTCGTGTTTTTTCATCTATACTTAAAACCTTAATGTCTTCCAAACTATTATTTTCATTATTTTTACTTTGAAAAGCACCCATTATATATAATATTATTTAGATTTTAATTTTTCAAAATTATATTTTTGTTTTTCTTCTCCGTCTTCTTCTTCTTCGTCTTCAGTTGGTGCTGGTATTTCTGTTGGACTTTCAGATGAAGAACTATGAACAGTAATAGGTGGAGAACTATGAACACTAATAGCTTCATTTGATGAATTGCTACTGCTACCTTGTGCATTTCCTGCTGTTATTTGATTAACTAAATCTGCGATATTTATTGTTGTTGCAATTGCGCTATGTGATAAGTTTAATATTATATCTGCTACTGTAGCGCCGTTGTGTAGCATTATTTCTATCATTTTTGTCAGTTTGAACTTCTTTTCTTCTTCATCGCTGTCCTCCTCGTCTGGTGGTTTCTTTGGCGGTGGTTCTGGTGGTTTGTTGTTGTCGAGCATTTTAGTAAAGGCTGACACCATTGTGTCGCGTTGGTTTTTCAGTGTTTGTGTTGCTTGCGCTCTTGTTGGTTCATGTCTTTTGTATGTGTTGTGCCAAAAGTTTTTAAGCATTATTTTAAACATATTATCTTGGTTTTCCTTTACCTTAAACGCTTCAAATGTCATATTTAATTGTTGATTTGCATCATTGTATAACTTTTCTTGAGTCTCTCTGGTTTCTGTGGCGATTGTATCTGTATTGGTTGGAATGTCAATAAATTCTCTCGGTATGCCCGTTTTCATCATTTTCGGTGGTTGTGTTGTTGTTGGTGTGTTTGGTTTTGTTAGGTTATGTATTGAAAAACTGTCGTCGTGATCATAATTATCAT